ATTCTTTTTTTTTAATTAAAATATTTTTTATATTTAATTTGTATTTATATTATTTAATTAATTTATATTAAATATATAAATACATTTTTATTCTTTTTATATATTTTATTACAAATTATTTTTTTTTTAACTATTTATTTTTATAATATCTTTAAAAATAAATAAAAAATTATATTAGAACGTTTAGGTTTTATTATTTATTTATTTTAATTTAAAATATTTTTTAATTATAATATTTATTTTTTTTATATAATTTTTTTAAATATTTAAATATAAAAATAATAATAATATAAAAAAAAAATATCATATAATATAATAATTAAAATAATTATATTAATTTCTTTTAGATTTAATATTTAAAAATTATAATACAATTTTTAATAAAAAATATATAAGTAATAAATAAATAAAATAAATATTTTATATATTTTTTATATATTTATATATATATAATTTTATAATGATTATATAATTTTTATTTTTTTAATTACCTTGCATAATATGGAGTACCTGTTTATGTATATAATAATCCTCTTTTTGCTACTTTTGATACATTCATATCTCCTAATTTTACTGTATTATCTTTATTTAGAAATATATTTGCACTCTTATAATTTATTTATTGTAAATAAAAATTAATATATACTTTTAAATCTCTATGGAAGATTTTTAAATCATGAAGTGCTTTTAAGCCTTTTATCATCTTTTTTGAATTTATTATATTTTTAGTTTTATTTTTTACTTATATTAATATATTCCATATTTCATTTTCTTAAAAATATTGTCCTTTTTTTTAATGTTCAGATATTTTTTAATATAAATCGCCGTTATTTAAATATTCCATTATTATACTATATTAATAAATATAAATTTTATTTTTAATATATATATAAAAAGAATAATATACCATAATGAATTTGATGAAGGGTCTAAAAAAGCTTCTTTATAACCTACTATATTATTTGATCTTATAGAAGCTAAAATACGAACTTCATTTAAAGCGTTTTCTTTTTCTTTATCACTTAGATTTTAGAGCTTTACTTTTTTTAATGCATATTCTTCTTAATCACTTAACCTTTTAACTTTATAAACTATACTATATGCTCCTTCACCTATAGTTATAATTAATTTTTTAATTTTTAATAAGTTTATAAATATTGGAATTTAAAAATATTTCTAAAGTAATATATTTTAATTTAATAAATGTAAGCAAAACCTAATTTCTGTAATATCAAGAAATCTTTAATTGACATTTGTAAAGAGCTATTAAATATTAATGTTAGTTTGTTATAAAAAAATTATTGTTACTTTATTTTATTTTTTTTAAAAAGTAATTAATTAAAATAAATATATTAACAATATTAATATTTTATTTATTTTTATATATATATAATTATTATTAATATAAAATGTATTTATATATAAATAAATATATATATATATAAAATAAATTGTAAAAAAATGAAAATTCAGTTATTTAAAAAAATATTAATAAAATAAAATAAATATATATTAACAATTATTATCTAAATTTTAAATATATTAACATAAAAATATTTAAATTTACATTAATTATAAAAAAAAATTTAAAATTATAAACTTATTAAAATAAAAAATAAATATATATTATTTTAAAAAAGATAAAATTCAATTTATATGAAAAATTTTATTAATATTTTCTTATTTTTATATATAAAATTAATGACTAATAATTCTTAATTTATATAGATAAAAAATATAAATATATAAGTATAAAATATATAAATATAAAATATATAAATATAATATATATTTATATATATATAATTATATATATTTTTATAATTTTGTATTTATTATTAAAATATAAAATATTTATATTTTTTAAAAAAATATAAATTTATATTATTATTATATTTCATTTCTTTAAAATGAAAAATATTAAATTACTACTATTTTTTAAACTATATATATTTTATATAAATGATTTTATGTTATTATTTTAATATAAAATTATATTAATTTATGCATTTTGTTTCACTTTTTGTAAACTAAATGGTTTTATTAAATTAATTAATTTCTTATATTTATTTTTCTTTTATGAAATTTATAGATAATTCTTTAAATTTAACAAATTTATAATATAAAGCGAAATATTATTTTTTTCTTTTTTTAGTTCTTTTTTAAATTTTAATTCTTAAAAAAAGAATAAATTTACATACTTAAAAAATTTGTTTATTTTATTTATTATTATCAATTATATTTTTTAATTTATTTTTCAATCATATTTATATTTTTAGTTATCTAAAATATCCTTTATTATTTATATCTTTTAAAGCGAATATTCTTTGTCTTAAATAAAATAATATTATTTACTAAATAAGCTATCTTAATTACATCCATTGTATTTGTAGTTTCTATAAAATCTAGATTTTATTAAAGATATTACATTATGTTTTACTAAGAAATTTATTCATAGATTAATTATAAATAAAAAATTCTTAATTCAAATACAATATTTAAAAATCATCAGATGAAAAAAATTCATTTATTCGATAAAAGAATAAAACACAAAAAAATTAATATCATTAAAATAATAAACTTATTAAAAAATTTATATGGAATATTTTGTATTTTTAATAATTATATTCGAAAATTAATATGAATATTTCGTTTAGTTAATACCTATATACATAAATCTTATTGATAAAAATAATAATAAAAAATATTATTTATATATAAATAGATATACTAAAAATTAAATAAAAATATTATATAAATTTATATATTCATATTAATTATATATAAATAAATATATTATTTTTTAGATATATTAAGATGTATTTATATCAAATTAACCTAAATATCTTTTATTTTAATTAATTATAATTTATTTTTTTTCTATTAAAAAACATTTCTAATGCATTTAAAAACTCTTTCTAATGAATTTTTTAGGATAAGTGTCTTCGTATCTAATTTTAATTACATTATTAACTTAAAAATAAATAACATAACTTATTTTTTTTTTTATATTTATAAACCTTTTTAATCTAATTATTAAATGATTTTTTCCTAAATTAAAACTAAAACTATAAAAAGATAATGTTTTAATACGAAAAATATTATAAATCATAAATTATTAGTTAAATTATATTAAATAATAAAATATTGTTTTAAAAATTAATTAATATTTTTATCATTTTAATTTCAATAAAATGAATATATTTAATGATATTTTTAATTGAATTGATTTTTTATTGAATATAAATCGTAAAAA